GGGGGGGGGGTAAATCCGCAACTGCGCTTGCTATGTTACCGGACCCGAATCCCAGTGCGGCCCAAAAGGGAAGGCCTTTCCACGAGTTTCTAACAAGGGGCAGCAAATTCAACCCCCCCCCTCCCATCCACCGTCCAAGTTTTCTACAATTTTTGATAAAGCCAGTTCCTCTCTCTCTCTGAGCCCTTTTCCATTACTGTTCAACAGCAAGGTGCACTCGCCAGCGCGCGCCCGGAGCACCACCAATGATTTTGCAAAACAATCTAGAATATCGTCGAAATTACTTTCTGCCTCCTCCCTTTTTTACTCGTTCTTTACCTCCATTCTCACTTCCCTCTCGGAGGTGGAAGAACGAGTATTGTGCTTGGTCTGGTGTAATTTAGTCCCTCGATTCATCTCAGTAACCACAACACCAACAACTATGCCAAATGTATCAAACTGTAGGTCTTGGCGGCCTAACCAATCAATAATAGAGGTTTTTTTCGGTTTATTACGCAAAATTTAAAGAAATTTCAGAATTAAGGTCGAAAAAATCGCCGGTCGAGCGTGCGTTTCGGATGGTTTTTCTACACGGACAAATATCTTAATAGAGATAAGTTTTACCTCAAAAAAAAATGACTAAACAACTAAAAATAGGTTAGCCGTTAATGTTTCAACTTAAAACAATCATATTATAAACTTTTTTGGTTCTCATAATGATTAAAACCTATCTCAAATGAAATTCTTCTAACACGAAAAAAACAATCAAGCGCATGCGCGAACAGCGCCATCTATTGAGAAAAGCTAAAACTGCGTCGGCGCGAAAAGTTTTGAAGAGCGGTCATTAACAACAATGATCTTTCTGTTTTCATTTCATAATCACACCAGACCAAACTTGGGTAAAGAACGAGGTTTCTCCTAATGTATCAAACATGTTTGATGCCCTGATGCTCTTCTTGTTTCTTCAATTGTGTAAATTTTGAATTGAACGTGAATGAGCATTCAATCTTATTTGGTGTCGTAACTGAACTGATACTCTGTTGAAAATAAGTACAAAGGGTGACAAAACAATAAAATAAAAATTGGAGAAGAATATTTATTATTACGTGTGTGCTCAAAGTACAAACAAGGTGACAGTCAATAAATAAATGACAGGCAAGCGGAGAATAATTATAAATAATACATTATCTCTTCTTCAGTAGCATATAGCACACAAGGTGAAGTGAATGACCAACATTATGTTAAATTCTACAGGATCACATTCTAAGAACAAAAGTAGAGAATAATTTTTGAATAATGCATGGTTACTTATTATGAAGATATAAAAACAAATACAAGGTGAAATGACAGACATTAAAACACTAGAACATGAACACCTTCTAAAATCAAAACTAGAGAATATGTTTATCCCATTCTTAAGATGTTTAAAACAAGATCACGATGAATGACTGCCATTAAGTAGCTTTGACATTAACAAATATGCAAATCAAAACTGGAGAAAAATTATTAACAATACATGTGTAATCATATTCAGATATTTAAAACGATGTGACAATCAATGTATTAATGACAGTAAGTGAACCAAGAGCATTCCCAAAATTATACTATTGAATAATTATCATTACTTATGGATACATACTTCATTCAGTTATTAAGTATAAGAAGTCATTGAATGACATTAGGGGAGCATGAAATAAACACATTTTCTCAAATCAAAACTGAACAAATAAAAATTAAAATACTTGGGTAAGCACACCATATTGCATTATGGAATGTGGATCCACAGACGATGGTGCTGGCGGCCAGTCTTGTGGACGTGAGAGCATTCGCCCGGGCCATGAGCATAAAGTCCAAGGTGCCAATCGAGGCGCCTCTCTGCCTCGTCAAGTTCTGCGTCGCTTTCAACAAG